CCCCCCCTTTCTCTCTCTCTCCACCTTTTGCAGTCATTTTTTGTCGTTTTTTTTTCCCCTTGAAATGTCGAAATCAATCAATCAATCAATCAATCAATCAATTGATTAACTAATCAATCAATCAATCAATCAATCAATCAATCCATCAATCAATCAATCAACCACTCAAACGATTGACTAATCAACCAATCAATCACTCACTCACTCACTCACTCACTCACTCAATCAATCCATCAATCAACCATCCAATCAATCATTCGAAACAATCAATCAATCAATCGATCAACCAATCAGTCAACCAAGTCCAATGATCGACCATCGAACGGACGAATGATGGATCGATACACAAACTCATTGATCTGTTGATTGGTTGATTGATTGTGCAGGTCTGTTCTCGCATTTCTTCAGCATCGGTTCAGTCACGATCGAGGGGAGCATACGTCGTTGTCCATTGCCGTGTTTCTTCAATCGCATGCGCCAGGTCGCAGGCTTGTAGGGCCAGGTGGTTAGAGGCGGGAGGGCAGGGAGGGAGCACCGACATGGAGCACAGGCCGGAGTTCGTGCCTAATGAAGACTTCGAGAACGACCCTCGGCCGAAGCACGTCATCTGGAAATACGTGCAGAAGGGCCAGTTGTGGACCAGCCTTTCGGGAGCGGACACGAAGGGCAATCACGGGCTACGTTGCAGATTGTGTGGTCACCGGTTGGTCGGCAACCAGCCCAAGGCCACCCAGCACTTCAACACCGCACGCGAGCATGATAGGTGCCGCACTGGTGCGTGTACATTCGTAGGGAGTTGCAAAGGGCAGGCATAGCCTTGAAGGGTTCCCTCCCTGTCTATGTGCGGGAGGCTGACAGGGAGGGTGAGCTCGATTTCGACAATCCCCTCAACTGGAGATTGCCTGGCGGTGTAGCACGACAGCCCCCAAGGGCAGCGGAGCGAGAAGGTTCGGCACCGGTGGTACAGCAGGATGGAGCGCGCCCCTTCGGAGGAGTAGGTGCCTCTGGAGCAGTGGGCCCATCTAGTGGTGGGGGAGAGGGAGCAGGAGAGGGCCCGTCAGGGGTAGAGGGAGCAGGAGAAGGCTCGTGTGGGGGAGGGGACGAGAGGGACGAGACAGAGCATGTAGAGCACGCAAGGGCGAGAAGGTTTGATCCGGTGGGAAGAGGCCGCATTGTGCTTCGCATTCGCAGCCAGGGAGGAGACGGTGTGTGCCTGAGGGGGCTGCTCGCGCTCCGCAGAACGAGCAGTACTGGTGGAGGGCGACGGTGCTCCAGCGAGCGAGAGATGAGGGCATACCTGTCCCTGCCAACCTCGAGGAAGGGCTGGCGGCAGAACCTGCAGAGCGGAGAGTGACCCAGACTCGTCTCGATGGTTGGGTTGAGCACCCCATCCAGTACGACCTCCACATGGCGTACATCAGATTTTTCGTGGGCTGTGGTATCCCGTTCAACGTCGCTAGGTCAGACTGGTATTTGGCTTTACATGATGTCTACCTCAGTCGGTTTAGGGGTCCGTACCGACCTCACCAGCCGGGGTCTGAGTTACTGCGCACGACTTTGTTGTCCCTGTTGTACGCGGAGCTCGATGAGCGCTTGCGGTATCACCGCGAGTCGTGGTCTGAGGGGGTCACTTTCATGACGGACGGCTGGTCGGCTCAGGCCAACCGCCTTTTCTGCAACTACTTGGTTGCAGGGAGGTTGGGTGCATCCCTGTACCATGTCGAGGATATGTTTGGTAGGGAGCGGACCGGAGCAGGTCTGTACCTCAAATGGAGGGAGCTCATTCTGGAGATCGGCGCTCAGCATGTAGTAGCAATATGTACGGACAATGCGTTGGCCAACAAGGAGGTTTACCGTTTGCTCAGTAATGACCAGGATCTTTCATTGCGAAAGATTGCTTGGATCCCTTGCGCAGCCCACTGCTGCAATTTGATGCTCACGCACATCGCCCGATAGCCGTGGGTAGTGCAGGTCATCACAGAGGGGCGAGATATTACTTTGTTTTTTCGGCGGCACTCACGGGCAGCGTACCTCCTGAGTCGGCAGTCTCAACCTGTGTCCTTGATCCGCCCAGGGGAGACGCGGTACGGAACCAACTCGATCATGTTGAGGCACATGTTGGAGTTGCGTGCATTTTTGGATGGTTGTGTTAGCACCCGTGCCTGGGCGACGGCCACGTGGCTCCCCGCATTGAGGGATGGCGCACGTAGGTGCTTTGACCTTCTCCGCGATCCGCAGTGGTGGAAGCAGGCGGAGCTCGTTGCCACCATTATGGGGCCCATTTACGAGCTCCTTCAGCAGGTTGATTCTGACCGGAGCAGGGTCGACGATGTGTGGGGTCTGCTGGAGAGGCTGCAGATTACGGTCGATCGACTCTCTCTTGATGATGCTTGTCACAAGCCCATCAAGAAGTCAGTCAAGGAGAGGTCAGATATGCTCCTCACCCCCATTCATTGCCCTGCATACCTGTTGCACCCCAAGTACCGCAGCATCCATACCTTGATGCAAGGGACAGTACAGGAGCGCATTCTCATGGAGAATGCGCTCGATTAGATCACGAGCCAGATCGAGGGAGGCCGAGAGGGCGACGAGATGACTGCCGTATGGAGTCCTTTGCAGGACTTCCACGGCAAGTATTCCACACCTGGTCATTGGGGGGAACCCGTCGAAGATGCAGAGATCGAGCAGCCTGACTTTGATCCCGTGAAGTGGGGGAGATTTCAGGGGGTTGAGCATCGGATACTACGAGATGTCGCCATGCTCTGCTTGGGTGCGTGGACCACTGCCTCTCCCTGTGAGAGGAATTGGTCCACACATGACTTCATGCACACAAAGAGGCTTCTCCAGAGAAGTCACGAGCGCGGCGGGTTCATAGGAGCAGGCCTCCCAGGGGTCGGATTGACCGATGTGGAGAGGAGGTCTGAGGACTACTCCCGTTTTGAGCCAGACGTGATGGCCCCAGGGACATACGACCCGACGGAGATCGAGCTGGAGGCCAATCGCCTCAGGAGGCAGTCGAGGGGCAGACGCTTGGCATGGGCTGCAGTAGTGTTGGCCCATAAGATTCGCCAGCAGGGCGATGACACGACCCACGGGGAGGATGTGATTGATGACGATGTGTCGTGGTTGTCGGGGCCTTATCGAGAGGATGGGTTTTCGGATGCTGAGGCCCCTGCGACTGTGAGCCCTGCAGGTTGGATGCTCCCGCCACACGCCCCGATTGACAATGGAGCCCCCCTTGCTGGCACACCGAGGCAGACTCACACCGCATTCGTGGAGATGAGTTTCCTGCCATGTCGGGCGGCGCCAGAGCAGATGATGGCATCGGGGGGAATGGTATGGGGGGGCAGGTTGATGCAGCGACTGCCGCAACCCAGGAGTCCCATCAGCCGAGGGAGCCCGCTACTCGATCTCCCGCTCTGGCGGCCCTTGAGGGCACGCTTCAGCCGTCTTTCATGGCAGGTACTGTCGAGGGCATGTCGTCAGCGTGCCCCTCCGCGGCTGCTGCCACCTTTTCAAGCCCCCACCGTGCAGTAGAGTACGACTCCGAGGGGAGGCTCAGACGACGAGTGAGTTTCACAGGCCCGCTAGACTTGTGGACAGCATCGGCTGTCTGCCACGACGCCGAGAAGGATTTGGCAACGTACTTGCCGAGACCGTTGTCGGATTTGCCGCGAGTTGACCCTGATGCGGAGACTGCCGGCGTGGACTGTGGAGAGCCCATTGGTGGGGATGCTGCTGTTGGGGAGGCTGCTGCTAGAGAGGGAGGTGCAGAAAGAAAGGGTATCATGCACGATCTAGCGGCCGCCGGTTACTCAGCAGAGGAGATCGAGCAGGCATTGGCAGGATACCCCGGGAGACAGAGACAAGGCACGCCTCAGCAGGGGATGCGCACACGCCACGGGGCGGATGGTGGCACCGCACTCGTTTCTCCCTCACTCCCGTTGCCACGTCCAGATCTTTCTTTGGCACTGGGCATCGTAGGCCTCGAAATGTAGCCACCTCCCATGACGGATACGCAGGGTGCCGGTGGACAGAGCAGCGACACAGGGGAGCACAACTCCCCGGGCATTGGTCTTCGTCATGCAGTTCCCCCCGCGGATTTCGGCGCATGGGCGACGATGCCATTGCCGCCCAGAGACCCCTCAGTCATCATCCAGCCGATTCGACCATTCGTTGGTCGCAAGCGGAAGCCAGAGAGTGTCGCGGGACAAGAGCCCAGGTAAGCTGCAGGTTGTGGCAGAGGCCAAGGCCGACCATCGGGAGAGGGGAGGGGCGCGGGCGAGAGGGATATGTCAGGACAGGTACGCGAGAGTGGGGCGCAGGAGAGGAGAGGGACGTCCCAAAGGCCGACCACCCGGATTGGGGAGAGGAGTGGGACGTGCCATGACACGAGGGGGCGGTGCACCACAGAGGAGAGCCCCTGCAGATGGAAGTCTTAGAGGCGTTCATGCGGACGCAGCACCGGTCACATCATCAAGCACCGAGGACAAGGAGAGCATAGCGCTGCGCATCACCAGGAGGCACAGGGGAGAGGCGACGACGAGGGCAGCACGAGCATCCGCAGCCTCATCAGGCTCGAGCACGTCAGCATCATCGAGGGACCCTGATTTCGAGGGGGGTGTCGAGGAGGACAAGGAGGAGGCAGAGGTCGATGCAGACATTGCGGCGGGAGAGGGTGATATGTCAGGATAGTTTTGTACATAGATCGTTCTGTGTGCGGGTGTGTGCAGTGTGTGCAGTGTGCGTGTGTGTGTTTGTGTTTGTGTTTGTGTGTGCTTCTGAGAGAGAGAGACGGACGCTGCATGCAAGGCAGCCATAGCCGAGCCGCACATTCTCATTGCCAGCGGAGATGGTGGTGGTCCTTGGGCAATGGTGAAGAGCCTGTGGAGGAACAGTCGGGGGATGAGAGAGAGAAAGAGAAGGGACGTACCTGGTGTGCTGTGGAGTTCTGCATTGGCAGCGTCTTTATGTGCATCGATCTGCGGCTGAAGTGCTGCTGGTTGCATCCCGTAGTGTAGGCTAGTATAGGGGTCGTGGGACTGTAGCGGGACGCCAGGCCCCAGACAGAAGAGCGACATTGCTTGGATTGACAAACACACCTAAATTGTTCTAGATCATACATGACGTGCTCAAACATCATCTCATGAAACGGTTTCACCCAGTTGACCCGACATTTGCAGACACAGAGATTCGATCCCTAGACCTGTACCCTGTACCCTGACCCTGTGTGCTGAGTGTGATTTGATCCCTCGACCTACCCTGTACCCTGTACATTGACCCTGTGTGTTGAGGAGGATATCAATCTGTGTATGCATGTTGCAAGCAAGTCTGAAGTCAAGTCTGATTGCATTTCACTACGGATATGGTGGTTTACCCAGACAACATCCCTGTGTTCAGAAGAAACCATGAAGAGCACTTGGAGCATTGAAGCAGGTGTTTCAAAACATGTGAAAACCACGATAGCCACCCACATCGGAAAAGACACAAATGATGGACGTCCCCCGTGCCCACCGGCCTGCACTACATCATCTGTCGGGCTCGGGGGTGGTGGGGGGAGGGGGGGTGATTTGGATTTATTTTTTTCCATTTTAAAGCTGCGCAGGCGTGGGGGGCGACCTCCGCAAGCAATCCGCTATTTAAAAAAAATAAATAAAAATCATCTGTTCGGGCGCAGCGTTCGGCCGAACGTTGTGTTCGGCCCGAACGCCGGGTCGACGGCTCCCGTACGTGCGGGCGTTCGGGTCTGGGCGTTCGGCCCGTCCCGAACGCGCTGGTGACTCTCTCTCTCTCTCTATATATATATCGTCAAATAGAACTGCCCGGTAAACCGTAGGCAGAGAGGGAGAAGAGGACAACAAATGAGGGGCTGTGACAAACTGTTTCGTCGGAGTTTCACCGACTCATCAGGAGGCTATATATATATACATATCGTCAAATAGAACTGCCCGGTAAACCGTAGGCAGAGAGGGAGAAGAGGACAACAAACGAGGGGCTGTGACAAACTGCTTCGTCGGAGTTTCACCGACTCATCAGGAGGCTATCGTCACAAACAGAACTGCCCGGTAAACCGTAGGCAGAGAGAGAGAAGAGGACAACAAACAAGGGGCTGTGGCAAACTGTTTCGTCGGAGTTTCACCGACTATATATATATAGTTGAGTTGTAGTCCTAGAATAATTTAATGAATAAACATAGGGATTGATATAAAATTGGAAACGAGGAAATTAACGCACAAAATTCAACAACTGAAAAGCAATGACAGACTTTGCTGAGCAGAGACACTCGTTGCAGTTCAAGGTGACAACAGAAGCTTTTAGTTGATTCCGCTGAAAAATATTGCAAAGCTTCAGTTGCGTCCGCTGACAAATACTCCAAAAGGCAAAGTCGACATTCCAAAATTGAAACCAAACCAATTATCTTCTGCACGATATCCATCGTGCCATGACTACCGTCTTCACCCGCACATAACACCCCCCCACCCCATTCTGACTGTGTATCGGACCGGAAAGCTTAGCTACGAATACGTTCATAATGGGGGTGCGTTGTGTTCAGGGGAAGACGGTAGCCTTACCGGTCTGTCAGAAGCCGATGACGAGTCGCCACGGCACCAAACATGAATGTCGCGAAGAAGTACATAAAAGTAGTTGATGTGATGGCACCCAGTGTGCCAACAGGGATCGATCTCTGGGTATCTTTCAGAGATGCTGATCGGTTCGAGCCGGCCATGATACCTGTGACTGCGGGGAAAAACAGCCCAACCAAATCCCTGCACTCGATCAAAATGACAACGCACATCAAAACAGCGGAGTTGAGAAGGAAGTGCAAGTCAGGTTGGTATTCAGTTTTGTTGGACATCACTGAGGCAATAAAGGTTACGTGACAAACAACAGAGTTAAGAAGGAAAAACATTGAGAGAGGAGAATAATAGAATATACAGTGAAAATGCAGCTGTCCCCCACATGAGGAGAAGGCAGCATACATAAATTTCTTTGGAAAAAGAAAGAAAGAAAGAAAGAAAGAAAGAAAGAAAGAAAGAAAGAAAGAAAGAATGAATGACATCTGATTCATTCAGGACTCTCGCCTCTCCAATCGACAACACCACTGACAGAAGTGCCACATCGCCCAGCAAGCTCCCTAAAAGCTTTCTCAGGGAGCCCGGCATTGTGCCGGGATGGGGCAATGTTTGAAGACACAAGCAGTGTGCTAAGCCGGAAGCCTGGAGGGGAGAGACTGGGAGACCAGGTTGTGCCCCATTAGGGAAGAGGCAAAGTCGAAGCTGGGTAAGGGCCCCAATATTGTTCGTGTACTTGGGACGCTGGTGCAGCTCCCCACCAATAGAATGGAGCAACGATTTCCACGTCTGCTCAGGGGGGGGGCTGCTCATATCACCCTCCCTAGCAGCAAGGTACCAGTTTTCTTCACAAAAAAAAATAGAAAGGAAAGTGCCAAATCGAGCAAAGATACAGTAAAACAACACAGCCAAGTGCCCTACATGTTCGACTTTTTTTACAACCGCACTGGCATGAGCTTTGAAATTCAAACCAACGGTACATCCAACCGTCCTTTTTCTGAGGCGGATTCGGCCTGTGAGGCAAGCTTTGGCGAAACGCCAGTGCGGCCAGCCATTTTGCTCAGAGCCTCCTAACTTTTCTGAATGAGCCGATTTCGATCCGCAAAGTTTGCCTGGGCCATCTACCGGTAGGTTTTCTTTTTTTCCCCCGCTAGTTTACAACACAACATGAGGCCAATTTATTTACGTGTGAGTTTCGGTTTTGAACACTACAGCCCCTGTTCCACCCAGATGCGCAGATCCGAAATCAAATCAGCTTTACCTGCACTGCAGACAATGTGTGTGTTTTCAGGTTCTCTATACACAACTCCACAGAAAAATGCACGACCATTGACCGTGCCAGACTGTTTCGATCACTGTCTCATCAAGAGGTCCCATAATTCCACAACATGGAGTAAGAAAACAACTATGAGATTCGGTCCTTTCAAAAAAACAGCAACATTATAAAGCGAAATTCCATACTTTAAAAAGCGTAGACCGGAAGATACGTAGTACATATATAGCCCTATTTAAATTTTAACAAGAGAAACACAATCCAGTCTGGATGGCAGGCAAAAACTCCTCCGTAGAAATGAAGCACAAGGCTGCAAACAACACCACAAATTCTTTTTTTTTTTTTAATCAAACCTTTTTACTATTAATTCAGTATTAAATAGTATTAATAGAAAAAGAATTGGAGATCGGGTCATTCCTGCAGATTCTAACCCGACTGAAAATTACAAAAATATATACGACACAAATGTAGACTCCTTAAGACTCATGCAAACCCCCTTCACGACTTCAGATTCCCCTTTCCGAGCCAGCATACATCTTGCAACCAAGCTCGGACTATACTCCGCTTGACATGGGTAACATAAACAGACTACCAAACAGCCTCGCTCAGTTGGCACACCGCTAAAGGCCTAAGGTTCCTCAACTGTTAAAATACAGACCTGAGTTCGAACTCCACTGGAAGCAGACGAGTAAAAAATACTGCAATTCTAAATTGCCTAGGGGCGGTCAGTTCAAATGATGACATCACTGGGCCGCCGCCCTTTCAAAAAGAAAAGAAAAAAAAAAGCAGAGATGAAATCACAAGGCCGTCTACCCTGGGCGGATAAAGAGGTGTCCCTTCAACTCTTCTGACTTCTCCTGCTTTTTCCACACGAAATGCCGAGTCCAGCCGACCAAATTCAGCCGCACAACCTGGGCTAGGACAGTCCAGCTAGAAACCTAAGCAGAAAAGTGAGCCTGGAGAGGAACTTTGCTTATGAAAAGAACTGAATGCAGACAAGATGCAGCATAAGACCAAGGGGAAATAGTAAAATACTACCCATGAACTGTTGAAATACAGACCCGAGTTCACATCCAGATGATGATTCTTGATGAGTAAACCCAAATATTTCTGAATTGCCTGGGAATGGTCAGCTCAATGATGAGATCTCAAGGCCGTCGCCCTTTGAAAAAAAAAAAAAAAAAAAAAAAAAGGGAGACCATTGACCAAGGGAAAATGATCAATTACCCACCGGAAGGCCCAGTTCATGATGCCATCCCGTGCAGGGATACCGTTACTGTTGGTCCTCTGATAAGCAGGGTCCCAATTTTCCACAAAGGTGCTCCATCTGATACCAGTCACATCATCTGCAAGTTAACCGCCAAATCAGTGCAAAGAACACAACAATGACAACACAAAGCGAGATAAAAGAAGACGAAGACGAAGACGAAGAGAAACAAAGCAACTGTTTTCTTACCAACCTCTCACCAAAATGCTACGCATACAATCACATCGTACCTACAAGAGCTCGACACCTCTTTCCCTCTCCTTCCCCCTCCCCCTCTCCCTCCCCCTCGCCCTCACCCTCCTTCCTCCCTCCTCCCGCTTCTCTCTTCACAGTGTGCAGGTGTGTTGTCAATTGCTTCACCGACATCCCATACTGTCACTACTCAACAACCAAACCGACAAAACACAAAGAAAAGACCCATATTTAAAACCGACACAACACAATCCATGGTCCATCGGACTACCAGTCACAACACAAAGATAAGACCCATATTTAAAACCAACACAGCACAGTCCATGGGGCGGTGCAACTACATAACGACCAAACCAACACAACACAAATCAGTGCAAAGTATAGCATCTGTTGAATCATTCTGTTCTGATCAGTTTAATATCTGATCCATGGTCCATTGGACTATTAAAAAAAAAAAGAAAAAAGATAAGACCCATATTAAGCCGCCACTCTACCCAACGTTGGAAAGGTGGGGGACCGGTAGCGCCGGCTCATGACGGCTACCAGTAGCATAATGTGGAGAACAGGCACAGCGGAAATGGAAAATGCAACGACTTGCCGCCACGACCTATTTTGTGGCTGAAACGATTTATTATTTAAAAATATATATTTTTCCTGGAAAGATCACGACCAAATCTACGCATCCTCCAATATTCAGATTTTTCTACATATTCTTCTGAGCGTGAAAAATTGTTGAAATTGGGTTACTTTTCCCGTTGGCCCACAAGTTGTAGAGTGGCCAAAATGGAAAATGTGACGAATTGGCGCGGCACATGGTCTAAAAGTTTTTTTTTTTTTTTCTGATATTTTTCCCGGAAAGATCACGACCCAATCTACAGGATCTCAAAACTTCAGATTCCTTCTTAATTTTTCTGAGCATGAAAAATCGCCGAAGTTGGCACATAACAATTGCGGGACTGGACCCGCCTGCGCCAACAGCAAAGGAAACACTCAGGACTGGTCAATACTAGGTAGTGTAAGGCTAAGCAAACGGGTCTATATGACTCTATAACATCTGCAATGAGCCCAATTTCAGAAGCTCATGATCGAACCTCGCCTGAACTCACAAGGCTCAACTCAATGATAACAAGAACTTCAGACAGAAAGAATGACAAGACAGAGTGGAGAGGAAGGAGCAGGAGCATCAGAATATCTCAAAAATATATCGTCACACCGGCCGGTCGAACCCGGCACATAACACTTTTTTTTTTTTTTTTTTTTTTTTGGGGGGGGGGGGGGGGG